CTCTCAGCCGAGATTGACTCGCCGGCAGAGGCGAGCAGCCCGACTGGCCAGCCCGACCAGTGCGAGGCACGTCGAGGCCGCTGCTGCAGATGGGACGTGCGTCACACAGAGTGCGATGGACACGGAGTGCGAGCAGCCCATTTCTCGGTGCGCGTCCTCATCCGCTGGGTCGGGCTCCTCCCTGGGCGCGAACGCCTCCGCAGTGAGGACAGAGGTGCAGGCTCCAGAGGCCGATCTGGTACATTTTGCCCGTCATGAAATCAACCTCGACTGGTGGACCCAAAAGCTCAATAACATGTCCGTGGAAGGGGTTGAGTTGGGGGCTCTGGCAGCAGCGGACTGCGACACGGATTGTGATGTACCAGCCCCAACGCCAGCTCCGACACCAGTCCCGTCGCCCGCTCCGTTGGAGCAACAACAGGCATGCTCTCGCCTTTCTGCGAGCAGCACATCTTCTACGTTCAGTGCTGGCTCTCGCCATTCTGGTACCACACCAAAGTCAAAGAAAGTGAATCTGGGATCTTCGAGGATTTCTGAGAAGGCTGCCGCCGTCCTGTGGGAAAGGTAGGCCTTTTAAGCCCTTGGGATCCTGCTGCGCGCCTCATGTACGAGTGATATATATATATATATATATATGCTCAGCCCCCCCCAGCACCCCGCCCTCATCATCCTCTTCTTCCTCCGCGCCCTCATCTTCCTCATCTTCCTCATCATCCGCATCATCTTCTTCATCATCATTCTCCTCATCCTCCTCATCCTCCTCATCCTCATCTTCGTGTTTACCCTCTTCGTTCTCATCCTCCTCATCCTCATCATCCTGCTCGTCCTCCTCCTACTCCTCCTCTTCATCCTCTTCTTTCTCATCCTCCTCCTACCCCTCACCCTCCTCCCTCCTCAGTTTCCTTGTCCGCCTCCTCATCCTCATATTCCTCTCCCTCCTCCGCCTCAGCCTAACTGGGTGCAACCATCCGTAGTTTGTTATGAATCGAGTGGTTGTTTTTTGTTTGCTACTTCTCTCCCCAGCGCTGGCGCCACAGCACGCCATGCCAGCTGCATCAGCGAAGGCCGTGAAGACTAAAACCGACAGGTGTCGTGATCGTAAGCGCGCCAAGTCCTTGAATAACTGGATCGCCAAGCCGTGGGTCAAGCAGTGCCTGAGGGAGGCTGCGCAGAACCACCTGCGGAAATACCACGAGACGTGCGCAGTTTTGCGGGGCGAGAAGGCCGCCCTCGCTCAACAGGTCAAGCGCCAGCGCAAGGACCTTTTTCAACATGCGTCGCGATGTCTTCGTGGCCCAGGTGTCGGGGTGGACTTAAACCCCTTCCTTGGCCCTTAGGCGCATAGCCACAGCAACGTAACAGGCGAACAACGACGTTGCACCGCCCAATGCACCACGTCACCAACGGGCGACAACCGTAAGCCATTAGCAACGCGCAATAGCGCAACCACAACATTAAACGCGCACACACACACCACCAAACAACAGCAACACCACCAACAACAATACAATAATGCACACCAGAACCCCCGCCCAGCGCGCAGCCGAGAACAACCAGCGCGCAGCCGAGAACGACCAGAAGGCTTTCCAGAAGGCCAAGAGCAATAACGACAAACTGGAGCACCTGGTCGAGGAAACGGCGCGCTTGAGGCACGGCGGCGCGCCTGAAGGAAGCGAGCAAGGGCTGGCCTTCTAGACAGCCAGGAAACGAGCTTTTGAAAAAAAAAGCGCTGCCTGCGAGGGTCGTCTTTGGGCCTCTTGGAGGTCCTCCACGCGACCCCTCGGAAGCGGTTTTCCCAGCGGGCCAGCTCTTGCCCCGCTCGCCTTCCTTTCGGCGCCTCGCCGAAAAAGGCGGCGGGCGCAGATGGCCAGAGCCCGGGGCAAGGCGGAGGGCGCGGCCGCGGCCACGCAGGAGGGGGCGAAGGAGCGCAAGCGCCTTGAGCAAGCCCTTTCTGAGAAGCAGGCTTGGCATTAGAACAACTACACCGTTGAACGCCGGCGAGCTTCGGCGCTCGCCCAGGCGCGCTCCTGGGAGGGCGTGGCCGAGTCCGTCGGCCTTCAATGTGCGCCCCCATCCAAGGTCAAGCGTTCTTCTCCGAATTGTCAGGCTAAGTGCAACAACCTCTTGTCGGAGATGTGCCGCTTCATCGCTCTGGCCACGGTCGCGCAGCGGGAGAAGTACTTCGAGCTCGCGAAGAAGGCTCGGAGGAGCATCCGTGACGGGTGCTTCGGCGACCAGTAGGCTGGCTGCCGCCGCTAATGCCGAATTCGGTTGCAAGGCGAGAAACGAGCACAGCTCAAAAGACCGCTGCTGGGGCCAGACCCAGTGAAGGCGAGAGGGGCATCCTGTTTTGGATGCCCCTTCCAGGGGATCCCGAGACGACCGGCGAGGCCACCGCCCCCCCTCCGCCAGACCACGCCAAGACGGCTCAAGGAGCTTCGGAGACCGCTCCAAGACGACCCGAGAGGCCTCCAAGACGGTCCTAGGCGGCTCCGATTAGAAGCAACGAGACACGGCAGGGCAACGCGCAACATCCAACCGACGAGAAACGTCAGCACGAAGCAGCAACTCAATCTTAACGCAGATCATTGGATAAAGAAGTGTGCGTGTGTGTGTGTGTCTCGTAAGCGAAAACGGGGTCCAGCTTCTAGGATGCCCGCGTTGGGGCAGACATCGCAAACGCAATAACATCACATGCACGTTGGTCAATAAACGCTAGCATTGCTCAAGGGAAACGGGCCACCAGCGTGCTTGACACGCATGCAAAGCACATGCACGCGTAGCGATGCCGACAGCGAAAGCCCACAGACACTACATTGGCACGCGCGCGTGTTCACCGTGAATCACCATCTCGATTTGTCGCAGTCGTGACCGTCGTCGCGTCGTCGTCGCCGACCCTACTTCGGAGCCCTTGCCCAGCCCCCCATCCACCACTCGTTGCCGCTAGCGCTCAGGCCTCTGCAGGGTGCTCAGACCCCCATCAAAGTTTTCCGCGGCAGGCCTCGACCATGGCTTTCGAATGCGCTTTCGTGCCGCGCGGCATGCATGGCCACGTCGGCCACGTTCTGCCGCCCGACGCGGCGTGGCGCAGGGTGGGGCGCGCGCAGGCTCAGCGCTTGGCTGCTGGCGAGGACTTGAGCGCGGGGGGTAATTCAGTTTTTGGAGGGCCCCTCCCCCGCCACCGACCATCTCCTGATTGCGGCAATGAGGAAGCGCACTTTCTTGTGCGCCAGGATCGGTTCAACGTGTGCGTGTGGCCCACGAACATTGAGGTGCGGGACAGCGGCAACCCGTTCTTTGCTCCCGGCTTCCACGGCAATTTGTGGGAGTCAAACGATCTCGTTTTCGATTACGTCATCGTCCGCCCGTACGTGTGCGCCGAGGTTGTGGCCACTTGCGTCGGCCACGACGATCGCGCGCTCGCCTCGCCAGCCGCGATCGCGAGATCTTGCCCCGTCTGCGATCTCCCCGATCGGTCTGACGCGGGCAGTTGCAGATCGACGATGCTCGTTGTGATCGGCCCGATCGATCTGCCGCGGATAGTGGCTGGCATATCTGCGATGCGCGATGTCGCCCTGCGGTGGGCACTGAGCCGCACGTGCATCGTGGCGTTCACGTGCCGCGATTTCCCAGGATGGGCCCATGCGGCGGAGGTGCCGTGGTCGACAACCTGGGGTTCATGGAGAGGATGGTGATGGCGTCGCTTTCGTTGCCCCGCCACCGCGATGTGCTGTTCGATGCCGACGGCGACCAGCCCTCCAACCGAATGCACGTGGGCCCGTCGTTCGGCCTGCGCGCGTCGGCGCGCCGCCGTCTCTGAGGCGAGGGCAAGTAGTGCGGGCGCGGCGCGCGCCGCGCACGCTCGCAGCACCCTGTGCTATCGTTTTGAGATCACATCGAGATTGCGCCCGCATGTTCCCAGTAAAACATGAGATCAGCCAGGGCGACAGTCCTTCCCAAATGCTCTCGCAGACAGGCGACGCTCACTTCGACCGCCGTTTCTCGTGATCGCCCCGACGCGCTTGCGTCTCCCGCCCCGCATCAGCAGCCGCGCACATTTAGGCCCAAGCTTACTCGCTATTCGCCAGGCTCACCCGACTTCTCGCGCACCGCCACGCCTCCGCCATGCCGAGGGCGTTTCCGGAGGAGGAGGAGGAGGAGGAGGAGGACCAGGAGGTTGAGGATTAGGATGAGGAGGAAACCATACTATTCTCAGTTTTTGTTTTTTTTGGTCAGGGAAGCCACCAAACACTGCTATTCACACGTTTTTTTTGTTTTGTGTTGTTTTGTTTTGTTTTGTTTCTTTTTGTTTCTTTGCTTTCCAGAGATCCACAAACATGGCCAAGAGGTGCGAACAGCAGTGTTCGGCAGGATCGTGGCCACCAAACCATGCTATTCACATGTTTTTGGGTTTTGGTCAGGGATACCACTAAACCCTACTATTCACATTTTTTTTTTGGTTTTCAAAAGGTCCGGAACATTTTCGTGCCCCAGACGTCTTTGGACCTCCTGAAAACCAAGCAAACAAAACAAACAACAACAACAACAACAAATACGGACAAACTGCTATTCACAGTTTTTGTTTGGTTTTCTGGAGGTCCGAAGATTTCTTGGGCACGAAAATGTTCCGGACCTTTTGAAAATCAAAAAAAACAAAAAAAACTTGTGAATAGCAGGGTTTGGTGGTGTCCCTGACCAAAAAAACAAAACAAATGTGAGTAGCATGGTTTGGTGGCCACGATCCTGCCGAACACTGCTGTTCGCACCTCCTGGCCATGTTTGTGGATCTCTGGAAAACCAAAAAAACATGTGAATAGCAGTGTTTGGTGGCTTCCCTGACCAACAAAAACCAACACACATGTGAATAGCATGGTTTCCTCCTCATCCTAATCCTCAACCTCCTGGTCCTCCTCCTCCTCATCCTCTTCCTCTTCGTTTTCATATTTGGAGGAGGAATGGAGTAGGAGGAGGAGGATGAGGAGGAGGAGGAGGAGGAGGAGGAGGAGGAGGAGGAGGAGGAGGAACAATGGAAAGAGAGCGAAACAGAGAGAAATCACAGCGATGGGTGCACACGGGGTGCTGGGGGGGGGCTGACCATATCTCTCTCTCTCTCTCTCTCTCTCTCTCCCTCCACGTACATATATATATATATATATATATATATATATATATATATATATAATGTATATATATATATATATATGATAAATGATGTGTCTATACATTCACTCATATGTATAATTATATACTGGGCTACATGGGGGGAGCCCTGCCAGCTGCCTCGCGTTACCATGGGCGCCCCGGGCCTCCTGGAACCGTCCCAGAGGGGTGAACGGCCCCCGCTCATTAAAATAGCGTCCCAATACTCCCAAGACAGCCTCCAGACAGCCCATGATGCCTCCAAGACGCCCCAAGACGCCGCCGAAAACCTGCCCAAGAGGCCCCAAGGGCCGAATAAGAGGGTTATGATGTACTTTCACGAGTGCGCGTGTCCAGCTGCAGTGCAACTCAAGAGGGCCCCAGACGCCCTCGAGTTCGCTCTGAAACGGCCCAGGAAACTTCCAACACGGCCCGAAAACAGCCCCAGAGGGCCCCGAGACGCCCTCGCCGCCGACTTCACCAACCTCAGCCCGAGCGGCTCGCCAAGGGAGATCAACGAATCGATCTGGGACCCCTGAAGGGAATCTCTGGCGAGGCACCAGCCAGGCCCAGCGAACATGGCCGAAGAAAAGGGCCGCACTTTGTTGGCGCCATGTTTGTCGCCACCGCGCAGTAGGCTACGAATCGACGCCAGTGCGATCGTCGCCGTCGGTGCGTTCAGCCTCAACTCCGGATGAGTCCGAGGCAGCCCCCCCCCCAGGATCGTCGACCGTGCGGCAGGGACAATTTGAAACAACGCGACTCCCACAAATCCACCAGCAGACGACGCCAATCCTGGCCCACGCGAACGCGACCTGCTTGCTGACAAGCACCGGCGCAGAGGTCTGAGACAGGCCAGTGCAGCCCGCGTGCGCGGCAATGCTCAGCCTGGACAGCCAGGCGCGCAGTTGCGCGCAAACACGCGCGCGGCTGTCCTCACACGTGCATGCGTGGCCTGGTGTGCAGTCGGAGTGTTGCGTTTCACCGTTCGGCGAACCACGTGTCCAGGCTGTGGGGCTTCCTCCTGCTCGCACTCCCCCAGGCCGTATCCTCCTCTCTCTTGGGATCTACTGCCCGAGGCCTGCCCCGAAGGTCGCTTCACAACGTCTGATCTTGAGTTCTGAGCGTCCTCTCTGCGGATGAAGGGCAGTGCCAGGGACCCCCTCCGAGCGGTCAGCACCGCATGGGCGGTCCTTCAGCCAGAGTGTTCCCTACCTGCAGGGCGGATAAGCATATCGCAAGTTCACGGCCACCCAGAACCAAACGTCTGATCTCCTGTGCATGCTGTATATGTGTACTCCATTGTGCTTGCCGCGTAAGTTGGCACTCTATGGAACCGAGGGTTTCTTGTTCTGTCTTGCGCTCCTCCTCCTCCTCCTTCTCCTCCTTCACTCCCCCTCCTCCTCCCCCGTCCTCCCTCCCCTCCACCTCGACCCACGATGCGCTCGATCCTCCCTCCGCGCATCTCCGCGCCCTTTCGTTCCATCCCTCCCTCTCCTTCCCTTCTTTCCTCCCCTCCTCGTCTTTGCCGCCGCTGTCCTGCCAGGCTTGGGTCTGTGGGCCGGCGCCCCTCGTCCCTTCTTCCGCCTGCGCCCCGCTGCTCCTGATCAGCAGTCGGTATGTCCTGTTTCACCGCCGGGTGTCCAATCTTCGAGTAGGGGATCGACTACAGAATTGATTTGTCCCAATCTTGATTTGCCAGTCGAATCTACGACAATGCGAAGATTGCTCCGTAGATGTGGGAGCAATCAACGTATTCTTGGTATATTCGACGAGGAAATCAATTCTGTATTCGATCCCCTGCTCGAGATCTGCAGAATCTGAGTCGGTTACTGGTTCGATCACGCCCGTAGCCAGAACAGAACACCCCAAAACAAACAACAAACAATGACCCGGTGACGTACCCAACCCTTTTCTAACAAGGGGCAGCTATCTTAAGGACCGCTCAATACAAACGAACATGATGAAAGACGCGCACTTCGCAGCCCCCCACGCAGCCGCAAGGTCTAGGCTGGGTCCGCGTGGACCTCCACTCCGCTAGACCTCCCAGGAGCCCACGAAAGTGGCGACAGTTGCGCGGTTCGCAACCCCGCCGGGAGCCGCGGGGTCTCGGCAGATCTGCGTGGACCTCCACTCCGCTGGTCCTTCCAGGAGCCTACGGAAATGGCGACAGTTGCGCGGTCCGCAGAGAGCCGCGAGGTCCAGACTGGATCCGCGTGGACCTCCACTCCGCTGGACCTCCCAGGAGCCCACGAGAATGGCGACAGTTGCGCGGTTAGCAACCCCGCAGGGAGCTGCGATGTCTCGGCAGATCTGCGTGGACCTCCGCTAGACCTCCCATGAGCCCACGAGAATGGCGACAGTTGCGCGGTTAGCAGCCCCGCAGGGAGCTGCGATGTCTCGGCAGATCTGCGTGGACCTCCGCTCTGCTGGACCTCCCACGAAAATGGCGACAGTTGCGCGGTTCGCAACCCCGCAGGGAGCCGCGAGGTCTCGACAGGGAGAGGACGACTAAGCAGGAAAGAGAGGGGGGCGGGGAGTGGTCGAAGAGGAGGCGGGGAGGACGGAGGAGGGAGGCGGGAGGAAGGAGGAGGAGGAGGTGGGGCCCACACTGCTCTGTTCAAAACGAGAACCCAATCAAGGGAAGGTTGGGAATCACTCCCCAAGGGCACCCAGCTCCCAAAATGTCCCAAGTAGCGCCCGAAGAGGGCCACAAGAGGGTCGCAAGCCGGCTCAGGACAACCGCAAGATAGCCGCCACTGGAGCCCAGCAATGGCCAGGATGCCCCCAAGACGGCCCAAGAGCGCCCAGAGATGTCCCAAGAAGGCTCGAACACGGCAAAGGAAGGGCCAAGAGGGCCTAAGGTGGCCCCAAGAGGAGGCACAGTTGTTCCAAGAGGGCCCCACAACGGCCAGCACCCGCTGGCCCGATTGCTTGTGACCGACTAGAACCTGAGCGTCCGGGGGCCTGGGGCCAGGGCCAGGACACCCTCCCGGATTCTCCCCCTCCTTTTGGCCTGCGACATTTTGACCCCTTCCAGGGCCTCCCGGGCCTCCCCCACACCGTTCAAAACAGCGCCGGGGGCCACCAGCAAAACGACCAGAGCGACCTGACAGGGCCGAAGGCGCCCGAAATTTTCAAGACGGCTCAAGAGGTTCCGAAGACGTCCTAAGAAGGCTCCAAGATTTGCCCCGAGAGGGCCTCAGGAGGCTAAACTTGTCCCATTCCTTACGGCACACGTGAATTTTGGCACATTCGCATTTTGGGTGTGAACAGCGTCCAAAACGTCCCAAGAGGCCCCAAAGATCACCCCGAGACGTTCCAAGAGGCTCCCAAGAGGGCCCCAGGACGACCCAAGAGAGCTCGAATACGGTCCAGGAGGCGCCCAAGACGGCCCACGAGGGATCCAAGAGGGGGAACTCAAACTGGCATTTCGAGCCCTCCGCTTCCAGTGGGCCCCCGGGGTTGCCAGCAGACCCCCAAGAGGCCCCCAAGGGCTCAAAAAGAGGCTCCAAGAGCCCCCCGACCGGCCCCCAAGAGGCCCCAAGAGGCTCAAGAGGCTCCAAAAGTCGCTCCTCGAGGTGCCCGAGAAACATGCCAACAGACCCCGAATTACAGTATCCGAGAATCTTCTGGTCCAACACTCAGGCACAGTGGCGATATGGGCCGGATGCTATAGATAAGCCAGCAATTGGCTTGTCGACTGATCCATCCCTGTGCAGTCATGTGTAGCGCAGGGCGCGGTCTCTCTTCATACACCGCGCGTCGGGGCACTGCGGAAAAAGGGGCTGCTGCGGAGCACGCGTGCACGGGTGCACTGAACTCCTTGTGGGGCACGGTCCGCGTGAAGCGTGTGCCGAGTAATTAAGATGACCCGCGCGAACACGCCCACTGAAGCCGCAGGTAGATCTCCTCCGGGCACGACCGATACGAGGCATGTTCCGAAATGGGCGGGGGGACGCCATGCGAAGCTGCCCATTGGTGCCATAGGTGTAGCTCTTTTTGGGGCATGATTCGCGTGACGGGTGTGCCGGCATGGGGGCGGCGCTGTACGAACCTTGCCTTTAGGCGGTGTTCCTTCTGTGCGCGATCCGCGTGGTGGGGTGTGCCGCAATGGGCGGGGGGGCGCAATACGAACCTTGTCTCTGGGGTCATAGGTGGAGATCCCTGTGGGCCATGACCCAGTGTGAGAGGTGTGCCGAAGTAGGTTCGGGGGCGGCATGCGAACCTTGCCTTTGGGACCGTCAGTGGAACTCCCTGCGGGCCACGATGGGTGTGAGAGGTGTACCGAAGTAAGCCAGGCGACGCTATAAAGCTTCCCTCGGGTGCCGCAAATGCAGCTATTTGCTGGGCGCGATCCGCGTGAAAGGCGTGCCACTATCCGAACCTTTTTTTCTGGGGACGTAGGTGGAGATCCCTGTGGGGCGCGATCCCTTTGAGAGGTGTACAGACATTGGCGGAGGGACTCTAAGCCCAGCTTGTATCTGGGTCCGTCGGTGGAGCTCTCTGAGCTGCACGATCCGTGTGACACTATGTGTTCTCCGATGCCGAGCACTTTATACTACAACGAGAACTTGCTAGATCCTTAGCGCGCAAGAAGCGCGCGTGGTTCTAGTATTATACATATATATGTATGTCAATCTTCCGACACGAACATTGTTTTACACATACATACATGTAAGCCAGCGCGGGCACCACACAATGTGTTTCTGGCAATACATGTTGTGAAATCTATGCGGTGCAACTTATATTGTACCATCTATGTTGTGCAGTCTGTGTGGTTCAACCTATGTGGTGCAACATCTGTTGTGCACTCTGTGTGGTGCAATCTAGGCGTGCAGTTTATGCGGTGCAACCTATGCGCTTGAATATATGTTGTGCAAGCTATGGGGTGCAGTCTAAGTGGTGAAATCTATGTGGTGCAAGCTATGTTGTGCACTTTGTGTGGTGCAATCAAAGTTGTGCAGTCTATGCAGTGCAACCTATGATATGCAATCTATGTTGTGCTATCTATGTGGTGCACTCTGCGTGGTGCAATCTATGCGATGCAATCTTGATGGTGCACTCCAGGGCGGCGAATGTTGTGCACGCTATGCGGTGCAATTCATGTTGTGCACTCTATGTGGTACCGTCTGTGTTGTGCAATATATGTTGTGCAAGCTATGGGGTGCCGTCTAAGTGGTGAAATCTATGTGGTGCAAGCTATGTTGTGCACTCTGTTTGGCGCAATCTGAGTTGTACACTCTATGCAGTGCAACCTATGCTGTGCAATCTATGTTGTGCTAGCTATGTGGCGCACTGTGCGCGGTGCACTCTATGCGATGCAATCTGTGTGGTGCACTCTAGGGCGGCGAATGTTGTGAACTCTATGCGGTGCAATCTATGTTGTGCACTCTATGCGGTGCAGTCTGTGCGGTGCAATCTATGTTGTGCAAGATTTGCTGTGCACCACATTTGGTGTTATCTATGCGGTGCAATATGTGTGGTGCAATCTATGCAGTGCAATCTATGCGGTGCAATCTATCTTGTGCAGTCTACGTGGTGCACTTCATGTGGTGCAATCTATGTGGTGCAATACCTGTTGTGGACTCTATGTGGTGCAAGCTATGTGATGAAGTTTATGTGGTGCAACCTGTGCGCTTCGATCTATGCTGTGCAAGCTGTGGGGTGCAGTTTAAGTGGTGCAATCCATGTGTTGCAAGCTATGTTGTGCACTCTGTGTGGTGCAATCTAAGTTGTGCAGTCTTTGTAGTGCAACCTATGCTGTGCAATCTATGTTGTGCAAGCTATGTGGTGCACTCTATGTGGTACAATCTATGCGGTGCAATCTTGATGGTGCAATCTAGGTCGCCGAATGTGTGCACTCTATGCGGTGCAATTTATGTTGTGCATTCTATGCGGTGTAATCTGCGTTGTGCAATCTTGGGCGGCGACGAGGCGGCGACGGGGTGGCGACGGCGGCAACATAGCCGCCAGACCGACAGACAGGCCCAGATGACGGGCGGTGACGAGGCAGCGACGGGGCGGCGATTGCGGCCACATAGCCGCCAGATCGAGGACACGGCCCAGTTCCTAAGAACAGATGTGAGAACCCCTAAGTGCAAGGACTATTTTTGGAGTCTGTTGATATAGATAGACGCGTATTGATGACATTTGCATTCTTTGTCTCTCTCTCTCTCTCATTTTGGGCCCTCTCTATTTCTCTTGCGCTCCTTTCCTCTTCTTCCTCATGGGTGGGAGGTGCAAGTCACACCTCCCGATGCCCGACACGGGCACGCCGAGGAGTGGGACGCAGTGGCCGTGTGCTCCGGAGGGGACGGCCGGTGGCGGAAGCAACGGCATGAAACGTGGAAGGAGCCGGATCTCTGAAATCTTGTAAGCGTTATTCCGCTTTCCAGGGACAGCCTGTGGCATTGGAGCGAGCGTGCAGAGCTCCATGTGTCCTTATATGGAATTCTGTTGTTCGCTGGGCGGTGGGATGTTGTTGGCAATGGTGGCGGCGGCGAGAGGGATGGCGGTGGTAATGGTTGATAGTGTATCGCGGCGATGTTCGTTGTGTAGCAGTGGCGGTAATGGCAACTGTTCTCATGGTGGTGGTGAGTGGTTGTGCTGGTGGCGATAGGGAGGGAAATGCCGCGTTTGCGGTGGTGGTGGTGGCAGCGCTGTTGATGGTTCTGTTGTCGCTCGTAACGTCGATGGCGAAGGTGGTTCTCAAGTTTTAAATCTTGGAGACAGCGGCGGTGAATGTATTAACGTCGATGGCAGTTGTTGTCAGGCCGATGGCCCAGGATGTTCTGTCCCCAGGTTCACCTTGCCGTCTGGACGAGTCTTGGAGCCATCTTAGAGTTATCTTGTGGCGATCTTCGGCCGTCGCGATTGCAGTGATTATCATTTTGCTTTTGTTGTTATTACTGTTATTATTACTCGTATTATTACCATCATTATTCTTACTATTTCTAGTGTTTCGGATCGAATTATTTTACTGCTGGCGATCATTATTCATTATTCTTATTGTTATTTTTATGACTATTATGATTCGTGTTTTTTTTCGAGTTTGCACTACTGAGCAATCGTTAGTTTTGTTCGATCCCCCTCCTCTGGGGCACACGGCGTTTTGTCAAGAAGTGCCCTTCCCAGGGCTCGCACCATGTTTTTTGGCAGGGGAAGTCTGGGGTCTCAGAATTGTATGTTTTGTACTCCGGTTTACTACAACCGCGGCTCCCGCCTTATACTTCCTCACACTTGATTCCTAGATCGCACTCTCGCGCGGACTTCCTTACAATTCATGAAGGGATCGCGCGCTCGCATGGGACTTCTCCGCAATTTATACAGACGCCGCGCCCTCGACTCTCGGGAATCATGCTCTCGCTCTGGATTTCTTACGATTTCTTTGGGAATCGCGCTGTCGCTCGAGAGTTCCCCGCGATTCATCCAGAATGAACGCGCGCTTCAGCATCCCGCCTGCTCGACATGGCCGCCTGGGCCGCCTTCCCGACCCGCCCGCTAGGGTATGCCCACACGATCTGCCCGTCTGGTTCTGCCACATGTTTTGCTCCTAGCCCCCCTCCTGATGATTCCGTGCTCCATTCGTCTCCCTCCCCCCTCCATGCGTCCCGTCCCTTGCTGGCTGCACCAAGGACACGCGGCAGGTAAGGAAGATATGCCCTGGGGGTACGATCGAAGACGAAGAGGGCGGGTATCGAGGGTTTGGGATATACGTGTTGAATTGCACGCGAGCAGAAACGAGCGAGCGGTCTTGAACTGATTGCTGTTGTTGTTGCTGTTGCTGCTGCTGCTGCTGTTGTTGCTGTTGCTGCAGTTATTATTGTTTTTGTGTTTGTGGTAGTCGTTGTTGTTGTTGCTGCTGCTGCTGTTGAATTTTCATTTCTGAAAACAATTATTGTTGATCCCTCCCCACCGGTGCGTACTGTTTTTTCTCAATCAAAGTGTGCCCCTCGACGCTCGCACCTTGTTTTGTGACATGGGAAGTCTTCCTGCTCAAACTGGGCCCCTGGCCCCCGGGTTACAACAACAACGGCTCCCGCCTGAGACTTCCTTACAATTTAGCCAGGACCCCCGCTCCCGCCCGAGACATCCTCGCATTTTATTCAGGAATCGCGCTCTCGCTTGGGACTTCCTTACAATTTATTCAGGAATCGCTCTCCCGGCGCTCTGGAGTCGCGCTCTCGACACCCAGGCACCCAGGAGTCGCGCCCGTTGTGGCCCCATGTGCTTGCCCTTCGTGGCCCCGCTGTCGCCATTTGTGTCCCCCTCACTGTCCTACGTGGCCCAGTTGCTACCCTCAGTGGTCCCATAGTTGCCTTCTGTGGTCCCGCATTATCTGCACTTCGTGGCCCCCGCTCGTTCGCGCTCTTCGTGGCCCCATACGCATTCCCTTCGTGTCCCCGCTGTCGCCCTTCGTGGCCTACTTCGTGCCCTTCGTGGCCCTGCTGTCGTTCTCTCTCGCTCTCGCTTTCGCTCGTCGTCGCCGTCGTCGTCGTCGCCGTCGTCTTCGACGTCGTCGTCGTCGTCGTCGTCGTCGTCGTCGTCGTCGTCGTGGTCGGTCCCCTGTCCGTCCCTCTTGGGGTCGGGTCGACGGTCCGCGGCCGCCCCGCCGATCAGCGCTGCCGCTGGCCAGGCCGACGGTCCGCGGCCGCCCCGCCGCTTGCCGGGGCCCGGCCTGCAGGGAAGAAAGGTATACCCCCCAAAAGGGGTTCGATCGAAGACGAAGAGGGCGGGTATCGAGGGTTTGGGAAATACGCGTTATTGGACACTCGAGCATATAAGGGCGATCAGTCTTAAAATTATTATTGTTGTTGTTATTGTTGTTACTGTTGCTGCTGCTGCTGCGTGTTGTTGTTGTTGTTGTTGTTGTTGTTGTTGTTGTTGTTGTTGTTGTTGTTGTTGTTGTTGTTGTTGTTGTTGTTGTTGAGTTATCATTTCTAAGGAATAAGTATTGTTCCCCCTCCCAGGTAACCAGTGTTTTTTAATTCAATGCTTCTCCCGGGGTTCGCACCCTGTTTTTTTTACAAGGGACAGCGAGGTGTCACCAATTTGCGCACCTGGCCCCCGGTTGGCAACACGGCTCCCGCCGGATGTTTCTTCACAGTGTATTCCCACATCGCGCTCTCTCGCGGGACTTCCTCACAATGTATGCAGAAATTGTGCTCTCGCGTCGGACCTCATCTCAATGTATTCAGACGCCGCGCCCTCGACACTCAGGAATCACGCTCTCGCTGTGGATTTCCTCACGATTTGTTTGGGGATCGCGGTGTCGCTAGAGACTTCGCCGCGATTCTTGCAGGTCGCACGCTTGAGCAACCCGCCTGCTCGACCTGGCCGCCTTGTTCCGCCTTCCCGATCCGCCTCTTATGGTCTGCCCGCCCGATCTGCCCGTCTGATTCTGCCACGTGTCTTCTGCTCCTAGCCCCCCTCCTGCTACTCTCTCTCTCGTGCTCTATCCTCCTCCCTCCCCTTTGCCCCTTCCTTCAATCCGTCCTCTTTTCCCTTGCCTGAGAGGCTGCACGAAATACACGTTGCAGGTCGAAGAGATATCCCTCCCAAGGGGGAACGATCGAAGACGAAGAGGGCGGGTCTCGAGGGTGTGGGATATACGTGTTGAATGGCACGTGATCAGATAAGAGCGAACAGTCTTAAACTGGCTAGTCTTACTGATGTTGTTCTTCACATTATTGCTGTTGTTGATGTTGTTCGCGTTGTTGTTTCTGTTGGTATTATTATTACTGTTGTTGCTGTTAAGCTCTCACTACTGAAAAATAATTATTGTTGATCCACCCTCCGTTGCACATTGTATTTTTCAATTGAAGTGCCCCTCCCGGCGCTCGTACCCTGTTTTGTTATGTGGGAAAGTCTTCTTCCTCCTCAAGCTGTGGCCCTGGTCCCCGATTTATAACAACAACGGCTCCCGCTTGATACCTCCTCGAAATTTACTCCGGTTCCCCGCTCCCGCTTGAGACTTCCTCGCGATTTACTCGAGAATCGCGCTCTCGCCTGAGACTTCCTTGCAATTTACTCATGCGCCGCGCTCTTGCCACTGGAATCTCGCGTTCGCTCCTCACATTTACTTAGGAATCGCTCTCTCGCTGGAAACTTCCCGGCTAATCACGAAGAGCTCGCGATCGATCCGCCCGCTCGGCCCGCCCGTCAGGGTCATGCCCTTCGTGCCCTATGCTCGCTCGCGCCCTTTGTACCTCATTGCTGCCCTTCGTTGCCCCTCTCCTTGTGGCCCAGTCGCTGCCCTTCGTGGCCCCGATGCTGCCCTCAGTGGCCTCTCGCCGCCTTTTGTGGCCCGTATATACGCCCTTCGTGGCCCCCAGTCGCTCGTGGCCCCGCTGCTGCCCTCAGTGGCCCCCTCGCTGCCATTTGTGGCCCATATATACAGTGGGCGCGCGCATCAAGAAACCATATGCTTTTCGTCATGGTATCCTGGGTTTCTCCGCTCCTCGCGTTGCGCGGTGACTTCCCGCACCCGTTGAAGAAGCTGCTGCGTTCAGGGTGCTCCAGGTTTCCCTTCAGATGCACCTCGCGGACGGGTTCTCAGGGTTGGGTTTCTTGCGAGGGTTTCTTGCGGCCGCGCCCGCACTGTACGCCCTTCGTAGCCCCCAGTCGGTCGTGCCCTCAGTGGCCCCACTGCTGCCCTTCGTGACCCAATTTATCCCCGTGTGCCTCCCCCCGCTGCCCTCAGTGGCCCCCTCGCTGCCCTTTGTGGCCCATATATTCGCCCTTCGTGGCCCCCAGTTGCTCGTGCCCTCAGTGGCCCCATTGCTGCACTTCGTTGCCCTGGCATAGGCCCTTTGTGGCCCTTGTATACGCCCTTGGTGGCCCCCAGTCGCTTGTGCCCTCAGTGGCCCCATTGCTGCCCTTCGTGGCCCCGCTGCTGCCCTCAGTGGCCCCCTCGCTGTCAGTTGTGCCCCATATATATACGCCCTTCGTGGCCCTCAGTTGCACGTGCCCTCTGGCGCCACTGCTGCCCTTCGTGGCCCCAGTGAAGCCCCTTGTGCCCCCCCCGCTGCCCAATGTGCCCCCCTCGTTGCCCTTTGTGGCCCATCTGTTTGCCCTTCGTGGCCCCCAGTCGCTCGTGCCCTCAGTGGCCCCATTGCTGCCCTTCGTGGCCCCAGCGTAGCTCCTTGTGCCCCCCCCGCTGCCCATTGTGGCCCCGCTGCTGCCCTCAGTGGCCTCGTGGCCCCCCGTCGCTTGCGCCCTCAGTGGCCCCGTTGCTGCCCTTCGTGGCCCCATTGCTGCCCTTCGTGGCCCCGCTGCTGCCCTCAGCGGCCCCCATCGCTGCCCACTGTGGCCCCG